ATAACTCCGTTCCTGATCCTCCAATTGCTGTTGGAGCATTTTCATATCCTGCTTCAGGACCTCATAGGCTAGTTCTTTGGCTTTGGACTTCATTTTTTCCTCTGAACCAAGAATAAAAAAAGGACAAACATCTGCAGGTGGTGTGCAAGGTGGCTCGATTTGGTAGTCTGCAAATACTGTGATAAGTGAATAGATTTGGCATACAGGCAGTCCTGGCTCAACTGTAGTAATTGGGACCGAAATAAGCCACAACGTCATGTGACTGGGATGCTTAGCGACACCAGTTCTGGCATCACATCATTAGCCACTTTAGTTATACAATACAATGCAATAGCAGAGTTGGAAGGGACCTTGGAGGTCTTCTAGTCCAACCCCCTGCCTAGGCAGGAAACCCTACACCAGACAAATGGCTATCCAACATATTTTTAAAGACTTCCAGTGTTGGGGCATTCACAACTTCTGGAGGCAACTTCTGTTCCACTGATTAATTGTTCTAACTGTCAGGAAATTTCTCCTCAGTTCTAAGTTGCTTCTCTCCTTGATTAGTTCCCACCCATTGCTTCTTGTCCTGCCCTCAGGTACTTTGGAGAATAGTTTGACTCCCCCTTCTTTGTGGCAACCCCTGAGATATTGAAAGACTGCTATCATGTCTCCCCTAGTCCTTCTTTCTATTAAACTAGACATACCCAGTTCCTGCAACCGTTCCTCATGTTTTAGTCTCCAGTGCCCTAATAATCTTTGTTGCTCTTCTCTGTACTCTTTCTAGAGTCTCCACATCTTTTCTACATCGTGGCGACCAAAACTGAATACAATATTCCAAGTGTGGCCTTACCAAGGCATTAAAGTGGTATTTTATAAAGATAGCTAGAGATAGAGATAAATAGATAGATATAGATATATTACACTCAAATAACAGAAGAAGTAAAGAGAAACCATCACAAAGCATTGTTTGCACTATTATTCTAATAATCCTTCCCCGTTGACTGCACAAGAATGGCCTGATTGTCTCCAAGCTCAATCAAGCAGTTCAATTGGACTTTATTGCCTCGATTTATAATTAACTTCAATGCTTAGAGAACAGGATTGATTGTAAATCGGGTACTAAGTACATTTCTGTACTTCCACAATTTCACTTCCCTCTCATGTTTGGCTGTCAATTAACCCAATGGGGCTACAGAGGCTTGTAACCTAGGAGTAGCTTCATGGATCTGCTTTGGGCTCTACAAGGGATGTGTAATTAACACAGGTAGTTCTTGACTTACAGCCGTTCATTTAGAGCCCATTTGAAGTTACATTGATCCTGAAAACAGTGATGGATGACTGACACGACCGTTGCAGCATCCCCAGGGTCACATGATCAAAATTTGAACCCTTGGCAACCGGCTCGTATTTATGATGGCTGCAACCTTTCCCGGGATCACGTGATCGCCTTTTGCAACTTTCTGACAAGTAAAGTCAACAGAGAAGCCCAATTCCCTTAACAACCATGCCGTGATTCACTTTACAACTGTGGGGAGGAAAGTCGTAAAATGGGGCCGAACTCACTTAGCAACTGACATGGTGAGCTCAATTGGGGCTGTAAGTCGAGGACTACCTGCAATGTCCCCCCATGTTGTTCAAATGATGGCTCAGTTGTTAGAATGCAGTAATGCAGGCAAATTCTGCCCATTGCCAGCAGTTTGAACCTGTCAAGATTGTGATTTAGCCTTCCATTCTTCCCAGGTCGGTAAAATGAGGACCCAGGTTGTTGGGGGCAATATGCTGACTCTGTAAACCGCTCAGAGCATGCTGTAAAACACTGTGAAGCGGTATATAAATCTATATGCTACTGCTATCTTCCCTTGGCAAAAGCAAACAGCACTTGTAATTTAACACAATCTAGAGGGCCATCTTGTGTCTATCCCTGCTTTAAAAAATGCTTTTAAGATGCTAGCCTATAGTCTATTATATTTGTACACTTTTTTCTTTTTAAAAAAGGAGGAAGATATATGTTAAAATTAAATATATATATATATTGAAAAATAATTATAAATACCATCAACATAAAATGGAGCTTGCTAAGAGGCTGAAATACACCAAGCAAATGAGAGGAAGAATGCGAAGTAGAGGAGAGAGGTAAGGGAAGAAGAGAGGGATAGGAGATAGGGCAGGGGGGGAGAGGAGTAGAGAGAGAAGGAGTGGAAAGGGGAGAGAGGAGAAGGAGAGAGGAAGGGGAAGTAGAGAAGAGAAGGACGACAGAGGGAAGAAAGGAGGTAGGGAGGATGAGGAGAGAAGGAGAAGAAAGTGATGGATAGGGTATAAATATGTTGAATGCAGAGCAGAAGAGCCAATTAATTGTTTTTGGGAATTGATGGTAAGATGAATTGATGTAAACATTTAACAATATAATATGATGCTGGCTATGTAATAGTATGCATGTGGTTATTTGTTATGAAAATGAAAAAATAAAAAACTTTATATATATATAAAAAAAGATGCTAGCCTATAGTTGTGTGTCTCCCATTAAAACTGTACACTTCCAAGGCTGTTTTTCATTTTCAGAGCAAATTACTGGCCGAGAAGCTGTTAAATTCAACCAGAACCCACTGTTATTCGGAAAGAAAAGCAGTCATTATCCTCCTGAACATGTCTCCAAGCTACCAAATCCCTGCAAAGAGCAATTCAGTTCTTATTTACGCTTCCCACTTAGGCCCATCCGACGATGCCATCAGCCGCAGTGCATCTCCCAAGAACAGCAAAGCCCGGCATTTCATGTACACCATGTTCCCCCTCGTAGCTTACAGAATAAGGGCGCATTTGTCGCACTGGCAGTCCATGAACTGGCAACAGTTCTTGTGGCCTTTCAATGGCACCCTGAGGCCATGATTGCGGCAGCGGGCGCAGGTTGGCGAGCGCGCCATGGTGGGAAGAAGGTAGTCATCTTGCGTGGCACCGTTCTCCACGGAGGAGTCTGAAAGGCTGCTCTGAACATTTGAGGCGCCGGCAGCATCCAGATCCTCATTGTCCCCCATAATGTGTGAACCTGAAAGAGAGAGAGGAAATAAACATCAAGGGCCTTGCTCAGTCAGAGTGGATCCAAACACAGAGTTAATCGGCTATGATTTAGGAAATAGCATGTACAGGAAAATAAATGAGAGCATTTTTTAAAGTGAGAATTTTGCAGAAAATTCTCTTCTAAATAAGCAAAATGTTGGCTTGAAGCCATAAAGATAACAATGGAGGCCAGGAATGACACTAGAATCTCTTCTGCAAAAAAGGGGGGTATTTATGGGAAAGCCTGGCCTGTTGATTGCCAGCATGAATTGCTTGGGGATATTTCCGATTTGCAAGATTCATGGACACCCCAAGAGTTGTTTTTGATATGACTGAAATGATCGTGCTGGAATTGGACGAGTCCATCAAAGTTAGGGGCAGCTATAATCAATGAAATCAAATGAAATAAACCAACTCCCGGGACAATAAACGTTTGACAAAGGGTGCAGACTAGACCCCAGCTGGCAATCTTAAGCATGTGGCATCTTCTAAAAGGACCTCAGGTCGTTCAGATTGCAATCACGGCTTGACCTAAGCCACAGCTTGTTTAATCCTGGATTGTTGGCTGGCTGGCTTCCCTTATCCTGAAGCGTTAATAAACCATGGTTTGCAAAGGCTGCAGGTCTCACGGGAGATCAAAACCAGAGATCCCCCCCCCAAAGGCTTCACACAGTTTCACACCATGGGAATCAGGTGGGAATCAGGATCCCACAATAAGCAGGGATGCAACTGCACCCCAAGGTGCCCAGGTACCCCCAAATTTTTGGCTAGGAAAAAATAGATTTGCAGGGTGTTTTTTTTTTTTAAGGCAACCAAGTCTTTTTTTAAAAAAGGGATTCTTTTAAACTTTTCAATCAGGAGGAAGAGGAGGAGGAGGAGGAGGAGGAAGAAGAGATTTAAACGGATCGACCTCAACCTGGGTAGTTGTGTGAGGCAACCCAATCGATCTCTCTGATGGAAGTCACTCCCCGGGACTAGGCAGTAACGTGCCACTCAAATATTGCATCATAAGGGGTTATTCAGGCGGGGAGCGCCGAGACAAGAGCGCTTTAATTATTTACCCAATAATTAAATCTGCATTCCTGAAATCTCTCTACCCCCCCACTGCCCCCCCCTTAAAACGGTCCCTTGCAACAGCTCGCCGCCAAGCGGCCAATCGCAGCTTTCCTAACGGCCTCCCCTGGAGAGGCGAGCCAATCAACGGCGGCCTGTGATTTTCCCTCCACCCCAGCGCCCAATCAGAATCCTCCTGATTTGCCTTGTTTTTTTGATCGGGCACTTAAACTGTCGCTTTTTCAAGGCCGGGGAATACAAAAAGCCAATGGAGAGGGGCTCGCGCCGCGGGGCGGGGGTGGTGGTGGTGGTGGATGGAGAGGGGCCGCCCAGACATTTGGGAAAGAGGGAGAGAGAGAGAGATAAACAGTTGGGCCGAACCATTGCAACATCATAGGGGGGAAGGAGCGTCAAAGAGAATCCAAAGAGGGGGGTATCACCTCTTTTATATAAGGCAATAAAAAAGTTTTCTTAGAAGCATAATTCTATCTATCTATCTATCTATCTATCTATCTATCTATCTATCTATCTATCTATCTATCTATCTATCTATC